ATACATCCAAGTGGCTCAAAGGTCAAGTGGTCATAATATCACCCAACATGAACCACATCTTGAAGGTAACACATGGAAAGAGGGTCGTGTCGCCCAGACCGCAGCTTGTTCCCAAGCAGAGTCACCCAAAGGGGCGTGAGAGGACAGAGCCAGTGAAAGCGATGGACAGAAAACAGCGTGGGACTGATCAGTCTGGGTTTGAGATCTGGCGGGACTCGACTTGAAAGGGAAAGTGGCAGCTCAGACAGTTGTGGCGGAGGGACAGGCTGGAGGAAAGATCCGAGTCCTGCGCGTACTCACCTGGGTATCCTGCTTGCCGTGGAGACGATAAATGCTGGGGCATGAGCCCAGGTCGGGGGGCTGGAGCAGAGCTGCCAGAGCAAGCACACGTTTTAAAAGAGGTGTTACCAGAATGGCCAACCCCTCCATCTAGTCAGCTGGTCTGTCTCTGAGAACAGAGGAAGGCATAAGCCCTCCTGGTGCAATAGGAAATGAAGGCCTGATCCCCATTGGAAAGACTCCCATTGACCTAGACGGGGTTTGGATGGGGCCCTTGTCTCCGGACCCCAGCTGAGGATCAGTTCTGTCCCCACGCATGAGGTGTGCGTTGGCCCTTGTCACCCGTATCCTCCGGAGCGTCATTGCACGGGCTGTGCATGTCAACGGAGGGTCCTATTCGACTCTGGAGCTGGGATTCAAAGTGGATCTTTGTAGGTACCAGATCTACTCCCTACCCAGTCCCCTGGAGCCCCGCTGAGTTTGTATCTAGTGGAATTCACCGGCATCGTCAGTCATCCAAGCAGCCCAGTGGGTGAGTTTCAAATGGGGCAATGTAGCGATGTATGAACTAAGCAGTTCCACTGAGCTCAGAAGTTAGGGCAAATGCGTCTCAAGGGCGATTACCCTGGTGCTTCTGGATGGGAGCCAACCTCCTACAAGGAGCCGTGTTGTGTCGTTTGCTCTTTACACAGCACTACCAATAACGCCAGCATGGTGGGGTCCAAATAGCCATGTTTGCTGCACTTACACAACGGGGAAGGCTTAGCTACGTAGACACACTGCAGTTCTGGCTGCTTTCTAAAATGTGGAACGCAGTGAGAGCCAGTAGAGGGCTCGCAAGCTATTTAAAGGCACCCTGCCCTATTCGTATACACTGCAACGGGAGACCAAACTAGAGGAGAAAATGGTTTGATGTGATAAGGCAGGGAAGGGAGCACCCGAGTACGTGGGCCATTGAGCTGTTGTGGTATGGCAGAAGGTCGGACAGCCGAGCACATGGTCAGACTGAGTCTGGCAAACCAATATTCCTGTCGTGCTGGACGCTGGTTTGGCTGCCACCTGCAGGGCTGCCAGCGATGCCACCTGCACAGGTAACCAGCTTTTGAAAACTGCATCCTTCAAGGTGGAGACATCCAGGCTGAGGTCAAAGTGTGCACTTTCCCTGCCAGCGCGAACATGTTTCCCAGTATGGAGGCATGCAGTGGGGCGACTGCCCCACTCCCGAAGAACAGGGGTTAAAAGCAGCCCCGGCGAGGGCTGCGGCTGGGAAAAGCAGTGAGCAACTGAGGGAGTAGCTGGCCACAGGTGTGGCCGGCTCAGTCAGGGCCCAGCTGGGGGGCCAGGAGCTGAGGAGAGTCTCACTCTAGCCCTGGAGTGGGAAGGGCCAGGCTGCCTGGGAGCACAGGGTACCTGACGTGGAGCAGTGCTGGGGAAGGGCAAGAGGAGCGGGGGAGCTCCAGCCGGGTAAACCCCCAGGCTGAGGCCTTGTTGAAGGCCTACGAAGGTACTGGGGCCTCCGAGGGGCAGCCCGGGGTTAGGCAGAGGCAGCTGGTCCAACCCCCTTGCCGATGATGAGTGGCCGTTACAGACGGCCGTCTGCCCCAGGGAGCGGGGGCTAGATGGTGACTGGCAGTAGCCACTGAGGCAAGGTGGGTTTAGAAGGTTGGGGGTTCCCCTGGGAGGGGAGACCCAGAGCATGGGGACTGCTGTGGGGGCAGAACCCTTAGGTTAAAGGGGCACTGGGGTCCAGGAGGGACACAGGGCCTGCGGCAGGTGAGCCACTGACCAGCAGAGGGTGCTCCGGAGCTGGAGTTGAGCTAATTCCCAAGACGACCAGCAGGAGGCGCCATGCCGTTGAGTCCGTGGTCTGCTACAAGGCAGCAGCGGCTCCGCAATCATACAGGGCCAAGTTCTAAATAGATGACCCATTTACAAGTAGAAAGATGGATTTTTTTCTAACAGCTGGCCCTGCAGCCTTCCCCCTGGCCGGGCTGCACAGACCTCTTCCTAGCATGCTGACCAGTATTCTCATGGTTCACATGTAGTCCTCCTTCTGTCTGCATCCATCTGTTGGCTCTTGTCTTATACTTAGCCTGTTAGCTCGTGGGAGCAGGGACCATCTTTTTGTTCTGGGTTTGTACAGCACCTAGCGCAGTAGGGTCCTGGGTCGTGACTAAGGCTCCAGGCACCGTGATAATACAAATAATAATGTTTGGTTTTCTTCTAACGGCCAGACCCACAAGCTGCCCCCTGGGATCTGAGATTCAAGCTGGTGTCATTCCATCTCCCAGATCGCCGCCAGGAATAAAGATTCCACAGGCTAAACTCCGCCCCTCCGTCCTGTGCAGCTCCATTGTCTTCCTGCCACTACCTGTGGACCTCCACTTGCCGTTATGGGGTTGCCCAGGCGTGGGTGCTGGGTACACAGCCTTGCTGGTGAGGCACAAGTCTGGCTCCCTCTGTCTTTAACCGAGTTCGCTCCAGCAGGAGGAAGGAGCAGCCAAAGCTGAGCCCAGGGAGCGGCTGAGTAAGAAGGTGCCATTTCTTTTGGAGAGCGAGAGCCGCTTTTCACAGCTTCCGACAAAACCACAGTGACATTTCTGAAGTGCTAAACTCACTTGTCGCCCAGTCGCTCCACTGTCACGGTGTATGATGTCACCAGAGCCCCGCCATGGGACTACAGCCGGGCAGCTGGCTGGGGGGCGGGGCCGTGTGCCCTCGTTAATTACACTCCAGGCGGCATGGGGGAGAGGCTGACGTACGTTTCGCCTTCGCTTCTCTTCCAGCAGCATTTGCGAGTTCAATGCCTGGATATTTGGTTGCAGCCGGGGTTGGTTTGGCCAGAGGGGGAGGAAACAGCCCCCTTTTGGGTGAAGTGGTCGGAAATCTGGCAAATAGCAAGGTAGGGGCTCCCATCCCCCCCTCCACATCCCCCCCCACACACCTTTGCCGCGGGACAGCCTGGGCCCGGGGCTCCCAGATGTGCAAGCCCATTGCAAGGCCTACTGGGCAGGTTGTGACCTTTACAGAAATGGTGGCTATACATGTCAGGACTAATGGACTTGACGCTGCGAGAGGGGGGCAGGGGAGCGAGCGCATTCAGGAAGAGATCAGCACAAGTGCGGCTCTCGTTGCTGGAGGAATTTCTGGGTCTGGTGGCTGGGCGCGCGGAGCTAGGGAAGGGGATGGGCGCACCCTGCAGTTCTTTGCTGAAGGAGCTCTCTGGAGCTAGCTTTAGTTCGCTGGGGAAAAGGGGAGCATAGTCCAGCGTAACAGACCCAACGTGGGGATTTGAAAAGGAAACTCTCCTGAAACAAAACCCTGCTCACCTAGCAACGTCACAGGTGTCACTAAACCGCACACCGCAGCCACCTGACTCTTCATGGTGGGAACAGGGATAAATCTTCCTGCTCCAAAAGCCTGGCCCCTGCATGCTTGAGCTAAAGGAGAACCTCCTCTGGCAGTACAGAGCGTATGACACACAGCTGGCCAGTTCTGATTCCATCCAGTAGAGGGCAGTTTTCCATCTTTCTCTCTCTCTCACCCACACACACATGTCAGTTCCCTACACATGTTGTGGACCAGCCTTTTCACAGTGGGCTGGATGCTGAGTTCAGGGCACCTCCGTGGGCCGTGTGCAGAAATATAATTCCAGGTCCTAGAACCCAATCCCGGCTTTAGGATTTAGCCATGAAGCCAGTCATGGGGTTACACAGTCAGACAACTAAATAAGAGAATGGCTCCCCTCTTACTTGAACTTCAATGACATCTCAAGGGGGGGCACCCCCAGAAATGGTTCAGGTGGTACGTATGCCCCTCCCACCGCGGTTCAGGGAGGAGACCGGCAGCCACCTCGCTGCAGTCAGGACTCTGTCTCAGACCCTTCGGCCCATGCAGTGCTAAAGAATCCCCCTACTCCGTCTTGGGGATGGGGGTGCCAGCGGCACTGACTACAGGAGGCCCCTTTGGCCAGCTCTAAGGCTGCAGAGACCCAGCGACCACTGCTTCCCCTCCCAGCCGTGCCCCAGACAATATCAACCATCTAGAGAAGATAGTTCAAGAGCTTTTATTTGCATACCACAAAGACCAGGAGGCATTCAGTGAAATTGAAAGATGGTAGATTCAAAATTGATGAAAGGAAATATTTTTTCACACAATGTGTAAGTCGCCTGTGGAACTCATTGCCACTGGATGCAGTTAAGGCTTAGGAGCTAGACAACCAGACTAGGCAGAATGTTTTCATAGTTAACACTCACACCGATTTTGGAAGGGACACAAACCCTTGTATTTAAGGGTTTTAACTAATCTCTAATTTAAATTATCAGCTCTTTGAGGGACAGAGACTGTCTTTTTCTTCTGTGTTTGTACAGCACCTAGCGCAGTGCAGTCCCAGCCCATGACTGGGGCTGCTAGGCACTACCAGAATGTAAATACTATTCATAGGAAGTAGGACGAGACCTTAATAGGGGGCAGATTATCCCCCTGCTGCCTGCTGTGGGGTTCTTACACCCTGCTTCTGGTGCTGGCGACTGGCAGTGGCAGGAGACGGGACCAGTGACCCAAGGTTCAATCGACTCTGGCAGTTCCGAAGATTTACAGCTTTGACCTTTCGATAGACTGGCTGCTGCCTTGATGTCCCTGGGGCTGTCCCTGTCTTGCCTGATCCTGGGAACCAGCCCTATTCGGAGTCCATTTCTAATGCTGTGCTCTTTGCTCTGCAGCGTACCGGACGGTGTGCGGGGTCAACGGGCCGCTGGTGGTGCTGGACAACGTGAAGGTAACAGAAATGCATTCCCTGGTGCTTTAGCCTATGTCAAACGACTGGGCAGCATGTCGCTGCGTCAGGCTCACGCTTTCTCCCCACATTCTGCTTTGGGCTCTCCCTCTCGCTCACACACAGTCCTCTTCCCTTGGCCCCCACCTCTCCCATGAGTGGCCCCGTTTTCTCCGCCTGGTCCCTCCTTAGTGGTACCGTAGGAATAGCATTGCTGTGCCGGCACATTGTGCCAAGTCCTGTGCTTTCACTTTAACTACACGCACACTTAACGCTCTGGTGTCTTCTCCCGGCTGAGGGGAGGAGAGAGTTTTCGGGGAGATCTGTTGTGTACAAACCTGCAGGATCCTAAGGGGCTTAGGGTCTGTCCGTCAGGTAGTCCACCCCCAGGAGTTCATGTCCAAGCTGAGCTTGACTTAACCTTATCTTCTCCTGAGGCAAATGCACTTGGAGGTGGTGAAATCTCCTTCCTTAGAGGTTTTTAAGGCCCGGCTTGACAAAGCCCTGGCTGGGATGATTTAGTTGGGGGTTGGTCCTGCTTTGAGCAGGGGGTTGGACTAGATGGTCTCCTGAGGTCCCTTCCAACCCTGATATTCTATGACATGAGTCTAAGCCGGGGGCAGGGGCGGGAGATGTATTTGAGTTACCCAGGGGGAGGCATCTCTCTGTTCCCCCCATGCCAGTAAGGCCCTGAACTGGCCCATCTTGGAATGACTGAAACCCCCGGCCCAGGGCTCGGGGGCAGAGAGAGGCACCCACAAGCCAAACCCCTTTCTCCCTGGGTTTCCCCAGCCCCTAAGCCGCCCAAACTCCACCACTCCCCCCCCCCACCCACTCGGGGGCTGGGGTGGGAGGACGGGGCTAGGTTTAGCTCTGATGCCTTCTCTCCCGGCCCCCACAGGCAGCGCCTGGCTCAGCGCATAGGAGCCATTCGCTGCCGCAAAGACACGGCGCCCACCCAGCCGCAGCCTCGCGCAGAGCCCCCAGACCTCGGCCGGGGAGAGGTTTCCGATCTTGTTCCGGGGGGCTACCACTGAGCTCAGCGGGATCAGGATCGGGCATTTCCCCTCCAATGCAAAGCGGGAGGGAAGCTGCCTCCGGGGTTTGTGACCATAATGAACAGATCTCTCCCTAGGGCCGTGTGATTGGCCTCCTCGTTACTGCTTCTCCCAACGACCCTGCCAGAACCGACGGGGTGAGGGCCCATTCACGGGGCCCCCGGGGCCTGGCATGGTGAGACTCCCACTTAGCTTCTCCGGCTGGCCAAGGGGGGTCAGCAGCGCAATCGCCTGGAGCAGGGGGGTTGCCCCCGGTGCGGGGAGCAGTGAGTGCACAAGAATGCACCTGACCCCCTTGGGCCCCCAGCAGAGGGCCAGGCTGCTGCCCAGCTGAGTGGGGGGGGAAGGGTCTGGTTCCCCCCACATCATCTCCCCTAGCCTCCCCTCACAGAAGCACGTGTGTCCCCTGGGCGTAAAGGGCCATAAGAGGGGTCTGATTTGAGCTGCGTTCAGCGAGCCAGGGGGAGCCAAGGTGGCTTGTAGCAGATTTGCTGCTCCTTGATTTCCCCCTTTCCAGCTGCTGGGAGTAGCCAGAGCACAGAGACGCTCAGCCCATGTCTCCCTTCCCGCAGCCGTGCCCCCTACACCTGAGGCTGCCCGGGGGGTACGGCGCAGACAGAGGTGCTGTGCTGGTTCTTTGCCACTAGTGATGCCAGGGGCGGCTCGTGTGCAGCCGGATCCACTGGGTTGCTGGTCTTTCTGCCCCAGGAGAGTGGGCCATAGCAGAAGGAAGGATCGAGGCTAAGGTGCACGGCAGTGGGAGTCAGGCCATGTGTGTAGGAGTGGGAAGGGGACTCTGATTCTGATCTACATCTGGACTGGGCAGCTGGGCTGGGCCCAGGGAGGAGGGGTGGGGTTAGCTGGATTCTCCTTCTTTGCAGCAGAAGCAGGATTACCTGCCTCACTTCAGGTAGTGATGCCCTTCCTCCCCTCCCCCCGGTCAAGCCCACAGATGACAGCTGGGTGGCACAGGTGTTGCTACTGGCAGAAGGATGGGGGAAAACACAACTGTATGGTGGATTAAGGCCGAGGCATTACAAGCCTGTACCAAGGGTGCCAGCTCCTGGAGTCACGTGAACCATGGGTGCAAAGGAAAGCTTGAAAACATGACCTAAGGGTAACCAATGCAGCAACTTTATCCGCCTGAGTCTGCTGAGAGCCTGCACCAATAGCTCTGAGAAGAGGGAATTGCCCTATACATCTCAAGGGGGTGTTAACCCCAAGACCCACTGTTCAGCCCAGCAGTGGAGCCTGCAGGCAGCACAGTGGGCCTGGGGCACTCACCCAAACACTTACACCCCTGACTGCTGGGGTAAGTCCTGGGCAGGCACCCTGCTACCTCTGCTCCTGTTCCTCTGAGGGTGGGTGGTGTGGAGGGGAATGAACCCAGCTGTTGTCCCTGATGCTCCTGGGGGAAAAGGGCGGCTCTCTGGGAAGGGGTGGGCCCCCCTGCCACCACCACTTTAAGAGGGGAGCAGAGACACTGGAGTCCTTGTGTCATGCCCAGGGCCCCCGAGTGGCTGAATCGGACCCTGCCCAGGTGCAGTGAGGGGAGGAGGAGAGCAGGGCATCTCTCAGGGCCTGGCGTGGCCTGCAGTTCCCTTATTCCCAGAGATGACACGGGAGAGGGAGAGGGGCCCTGGTTCTCTAAGGTTTTTAGATGCCAAACTCCCACGGGGTGGAGGTGCCTAAATGCCTTGGAGGACGTGGGCCTGAGATCCCGAGGGAGCTTCTGGGGAAGGCAGCTGCAGGGCGCGGGAGTCGGTGGATCTTGCAACTGGAGCCCATTTGGGGTGGACGGATCAAGGGAACCAACAGGGGGAGCCCGGCAGTGCCTCCCCCCAACAGCTGATTTGTGGTACGGGATGCCCAGAAGCACCTGCTGCAGGTGGGCTGTAACCAGAGAGGTGGGAGCCTGCGTGGAGGAGGGATCTACGTGGGCCCTGGGGCTGAATTAACACTCATCAAGGGGAGGAGAGACGGGCTGTCCTGGCACAGCCAAAGCCCCTGTTGGGCCGAGCCGAGAACAAGGGAGGGACCAGTCCTTTCGGAGCCCTCCCTGGATTCTGTCCCCTGCCCTTCTTGACACATGCTGCCTGCTTAGAGCTCTCCCTGCTGGCTGGATGACGTGATGCAGCCACGCTGGAAAGTAACCATGGTATGTGGCACAGTCACATGCAAAATCACACTTAGTTTGTGTTTGGCCAAATCCTATGCTAAGCAGATGGTGTGGGTGTGGGTGGGTGTTGGCAGACAGCTAAAAGGTGACACATTTTATAAGTGCTTATGTACAAATGCTAGAAGTCTATATACTAAGATGGAGGAACTCGAGTGCCTGGTATTAAATGAGACTATGGATATAACGGGCATCACAGAAACTTGATGGAATACTGATAATCAATGGGACACAGTAATACCAGGGGACAAAATATATCGGAAGGACAGAACAGGTCGTGCTGGTGGGGGAGTAGCGCTGTATGTGAAAGAAAACATAGAGTCAAATGTAGTACAAATTTTAAATGAACCAAACTGTACCATAACATCTCGATGGCTAGAAATGTAGTGCTTGAATAATAAGAATATAGCAGTAGGGATATACTACTGACCGCCTGACCAGGATGGTAATGGTGACTGTGAAATGCTCAGGGAGATGAGAGGCTATAAAAATAGAAAACTCAATAGTAATGGGGGATTTCAGCTATCCCCATATTGACTGGGTACATGTCACCTCAAGATGGGATGCAGAGATAAAGTTTCTTGACACCATAAATGTCCTTGGAGCAGCTAGTCCTGGAACCCACAAGGGGAGAGGCAATTCTTGATTTAGTCCTAAGTGGAGCACAGGATCAGGTTCACAAGGTGAATATACCTGAACTGTTTGATAATAGCAGCCAGGATATAATTACATTTAACATCCTGGAGGGGAGGACACCAAACAAGCCCACCACAGTAGCTTTTAATTTCAGAAAGGGGAACTACAGAAAAATGAGGAGGTCAGTGAAACAGAAATGAAAAGGTACAGCGCCAAAAGTGAAATCCCTGCAAGCTGAATGGAAACTTTTTAAAAACACTATAATAGAGGCTCAAAGGAAATATACCCCAAATTAAAAAACATAGTAAAAGGACCAAAAAAACTGCCACCATGGCTAAACAACAAAGTAAAAGAAGCAGTGAGAGGCAAAAAGGCATTCTTTAAGAATTAGAAGTTATATCCTACAGAGGAAAATAGAAAGGAGCATAAACTCTGGCAAGTGAAAGGTAAAAATATAATTAGGCAGGCCAAAAAAGAATTTGAAGAGCAACTAGCCAAAGACTCAGAGTAACAGCAAAAAAAATTAAATGTTAAGTACATCAGAAGCAGGAAGCCTGCCAAACAACCAGTGGGGCCACTGGACGATCGAGATGCTAAAGGAGCACTCAAGGACGATAAGGCCATTGGGGAGAAACTAAATGAATTCTTTGCATCAGTCTTCACAGTTGAGGATGTGAGGGAGATTCCCAAACCTGAGCCATTCTTTTTTGGTGATAAAGCTGAAGAACTGTCCTGGATTGAGGTGTCATTAGAGGAGATCCTGGAACAAATTGACAAACTAAACAGTAAGAAGTCACCAGAACCAGATGGTATCACCCGAGGGTTCTGAAGGAACTCAAATGTGAAATTGCAGAACTACTAACTGTGGTATGTAACCCATCATTTAAATCAGCTTCTGTACCAGATGACTGGAGGATAGCTAATGTGACGCCAATTTTTAAAAAAGGCTCCAGAGCTGATCCTGGCAATTACAGGCCGGTAAGCCTCACATCAGTACTGGGAAAACTAGTTGAAACTATAGTAAAGAACAGAATTATCAGGCACACAGATAAACATGATTTGTTGGGGAATCTTTGGAGGAGTCAACAAACGTGTACAAGGGTGATCCGATGGATATAGCATACTCAGATTTTCAGTAAACCTTTAACAAGGGTCCTCACCAAAGGCTCTTAAGCAAAGTAAGGAGTCATGGGTTAAGAGGGAAGGCTCTTTCATAGAAGATTAGGGCTGGAAGAGACCTCAGGAAGTCATCTAGTCCAGTGGTTTTCAAACGTTTTTTCTGGCGACCCAGTTGAAGAAAATGGTTGATGCCCACAACCCAACGGAGCTGGCGATGAGGGGTTCGGGGTTTGGGAGGGGGCTCTGGGCTGGGGCAGGGGGTTGGGGTGTGGGAGGAGGACCGGGCTCTGGGCTGGGGGTGCAGGCTCTGGGATGGGGCTGGGCATGAGGAGTTTAGGGTGCAGGAAGGGGCTCTGGGTTTGGGAGGGGGCTCAGGGCTGGGGCAGGGGATTGGGACATGGGGCTGGGGCACATTGGGACATGGGGTTGGGGCACAGACCTCGGGCGGCTCCCGGGTCTGCAGCACAGCGGGGGTGTTCAGGCAGGCTTCCTGCCTGTCCTGGCACCATGGATTGCGCTGTGCCCCAGAAGCAGCCAGCAGCAAGCCCGGCTCCTAGGCAGAGGTGTGGAAGTGGCTCCGCGCGACTCTCACCTGCAGACACCTCCCCCCCAGCGAAGCCGGTGCTCGGAGCAGGGGCAGCGCACGGAGCGCCATGCCCTCTCCTTCCCCCGCCTAGGAGCCGGACCTGCTGCTGGCCACTTCTGGGGCGCAGCGCGGTGTCAGAACAGGTAGGGACTTGCCTGCCTTAGCTGGGCACCGCCGCCAGGACTTTTAACGGCTCGGGACTTTTAACGGCAGTGCTGACCAGAGCTGCCGCGACCCAGTGCCTGACTGTACCCAGTACTGGGTCGCGACCCGCAGTTTGAAAACCACTGATCTAGTCCAACCCCCTGCTCAAAGCAGGACCAACCCCAACTAAATCATCCCAGCCAGGGCTTTGTCAAGCCGGGCCTTAAAAACCTCCAAGGAAGGAGATTCCACCACCTCCCTAGGTAACCCATTCCAGTGCTTCACCACCCTCCTAGTGAAATAGTGTTTCCTGATATCCAACCTAGACCTCCCCCACTGCAACTTGAGACCATTGCTCCTTGTTCTGTCATCTGCCACCGCTGAGAACAGTCTAGATCCATCCTCTTTGGAACCCCCCTTCAGGTAATTGAAGGCTGCTATCAAATCCCCCCTCACTCTTCTCTTCTGCAGACTTAATAAGCCCAGGTCCCTCAGCCTCTCCTCATATGTCATGTGCTCCAGCCCCCTGATCATTTTCGTTGCCCTCCGCTGGACTCTTTCCAATTTGTCCACATCCTTTCTGTAGTGGGGGCCCCAAAACTGGATGCAATACTCCAGATGTGGCCTCACCAGTGCCGAATAGAGGGGAATAGTCACTTCCCTCGATCTGCTGGCAATGCTCCTACTAATGCAGCCCAATACGCCGTTGGCCTTCTTGGATCAGTCAGTAACTGGTTAAAAGATAGGAATAAATGGTCTGTTTTCAGAACGGAGCGAGGTAAATAGTGGTGTTCCCCCTAACGGGCCATCCTGCAAAGCCAGCTAGATTTCTTTTCTTATCTAATTGCTTTCTCACGGTGTGTGTAGGTATTCACCTCCACCTGTGTGGCGGATGTACCCATTATGTAAAATGCCTGTATTTCCCCAAGGCCGGATTCTGCAGTGAAAATCTGGCATGACACCATGGTCTTTGAAAGAAATTCCTCCCCATTGACACCAGTGGACACAGACAGTTCCATCTGTTGTGCAAACTGACTCGATCTGTTGGTTGTAGCTCCTGTTACCGGGCGGTTTTAGTAGACAGGGGGAAATACTGTTGCTTGGTTTGACAAAGTGACTTCTAGTGGACACTGCTGTGCACATCCTGCATTTTCCGGGCAGATGCAGCCTGGCTCAAGTTCCGTGGACATGGATGGGCTGCAGCTGTGTGTCCACTCACGCCAGGCCCCGGTTTGCACACCGGCTGCTCAGTTATGGGGGCCATGATCTTCTGGCTCGGGCATGGGGCTGGGCATTCAGCGTTCTGGGTTTGTCACCAATCTCGGTGCTTGTCTAGAGACCGGGGATCAAACCCCCCTGTCTGAATGAGTTCACTGTTATCGTAACCCTGCTGTCCTGGCCCTCTTCCGTGGCATTAGGGCAGCTCTCGAGTTAAAAGCAGCCAACGCTAAAGCCAGGAAAGCTGCATTCCATACGTAGCTGCCCCTGGCTCCAGAGGAAGGGTTATGCCTGGTAATAAAGAAATGCTTTGTTGATCCATTGCAACATCCTGGATCGTTTCACTCTGACACGTGCAGGATGGAAATGAATAAGATCCGTTAAAGAGCTGGGCCACGTGTTAGATTGTTTTAAAAGAAGGTTTTTACTGGAGATTTGAAGTCCAAAGTTCACAGGCGTAGCTGCCCAGTAGCCGGGGAAATGGTACCGTTCTGGCTGAGGCTAAGCCAGCAGGCTGGTGGCCGGTGCGTGGAGCAGGGCGGCTGGAGCTTTGGCGAAATGCCCGTCCCTTGGAACGTACACAATTCGGCAACTTTAGGGAAGGACAGTGGGACAATGCCAGAGCGTAGAAAGCAAAAGGGGGCCTGGGGGGCGCCGTAATGGGATGTAGGCCCATCTGCGCTAGCTTTAATCTAGCGAGCATGGGTAACCACAGTAGGAAAGATATGGCAACAGACTAGCAGCCTGAGTACATCCCCAGGTCCCCAGCAGCCCTGTACTGTGGCAGCTGGCCCATGCTGAAGTCCGAGCCGCCACGTCTCTACTCTGATTGTTCTCCGTGTTCGTTAGATTAAGGCCTCCCCGCACTACAATCTTCATGTGCTGTGTAGACGTGACCCTTGGTTCTAATCCAAGCCAGGTCAGTAGAGAGTGACCCTGGTACATATCCCTCCCTGGTGTAACTACCTGGGGGTTAGTCCGGGGGATGTAGCTGTAGCCAGAAGGTGAATTACTCCCTTGCTCAAAATGGGGGCTATGAGAGGGCAGGGCAGCGTGTATGTGGGGGGGGTAACTTGCCCTTTGCACCCGCCCCCCATCCTCTCCCTGCTCTGTGGCGAAGGAGAGGCTTTCAGACGTGGCAGCTTTCACCAGCCTGGCATTGACTGAAGGTCCATTTCAAAGTACCCAAGCGTAGACCATGATTCTGAGCCAATTTCCCTGCTAGCTTTAGCTGTTTGGACGTCTTATGCCCTAGGGTATGAGCCCCCCTACAAATGCTCATGAATTTATCCCTGCAGCACCCCAGTTAGGTACGGAAGCTCACGCTTTAAATAGACGTGGGAGTGTTGTTATCCCCACTTTACAGATGGGAAACTGAGGCACGGGGAAATGAAGAGACTTGCCCAACGTCCCCCAGTAGGTCAGTGGAAGAGCTGGGAATAGACCCCAGATCTCCTGCTTCCCAGTCTGGTGCCTTATCCATAGAAGTGATGAATACGAGGCGTGAGCGTGAAGAAAGGATTGGAATGAAGAGAGACCTTTGTCCAGGTGGGGCAGGAGGGAGCTCCAGGCATAGGGGCTGCATGGTAGGGGTGTAGGGGAAGGATGCAAAGGGCAGAGTGGTGCAGGAGGTTTGGTCAGAGGGCAGGGGAAGAGAGCAGGAAGAAATGAGCACGAAGGGGTGGGGGGAAGCCGAGGAGCCCCACGAAAGTGTGGGACGAGGAATGGGAGATAGGCACACTGTGGGCCGCTCCGAGGCAGCGAGCACCCGGGCAGTGCTCCTGCTGCCAAAGGAACACACAGAAATATTTCCGATCGTTCAGCTGGAAGCAGGGGCCGGGGGGTGCCAGCCCAAGAGGTTACACCCAGGCCCAGGCTCTCCCATTGGCACTCCCACTGAGCGAGGGAGGGAACCGGGCGTTGCACAACGGTTGTACCAATGTGGGGAGCTGGCTGGAGTCTGGTTGTGTTGTGAAATTCAGCCGGGGCAGGATTGCTTCCCACAGAGCAGCGGCAGCTCGGACATTAACCCCGGCCTTGCTTCTCTCTGCGCAGTTCGCCCAGTACGCCGAGATTGTCAACTTCACCCTCCCCAATGGCACCAACAGGAGCGGGCAGGTCCTGGAAGTGGTGGGCTCTAAAGCTATCGTGCAGGTGAGTGCACAGTGTGCAGCGGGTTCCTCGTTGCTATGTTCACGGCACACACACACACACACAGAGGTTAGCTAAAACCAGGAAATCCTCTTGCTGGAAGCTTGCGATGTAACACAACTTTGGTTCTTCAAACCCAGAACCTTAACACAGAAGAGCCAAAACCAGATAGAGACAAAGCAGGCTGCTCCCTAAAGCAGGATTCACTCACCTTGCTCTAAGCTGGCTCTTAGTTGAAGACTCAGCTTGCATGCCTCCCTGCAGCGCCCCCTTGCAAACAGATCATGAAAATCTCTGAGACTCACTGGGATAGCGTATCATTTTAACACAGTTTTCAACACACCACAACTGCAACTCACTCGGTCCATTCTGCTGCTGAGCACCTGTATTGCATTCTCTATAGGTTCCCTTTTCCAGTTCGGTTCCATATGAGCTTCATTCTTTGCAAAGCACATTGTCAGAGTGACTGGATGGCTCAGGAAACTGGGAAGGATATCAGTGTATCTGTATTATGGTAGCACCTCTAGGCCATAACCTAGATCAGGGCCCCATTGTGCTGGGCGCTGCACAAACCCATAGTGAAAAACCACCCCTGCTCCAATGAGCTTGTGAGCGTGCAGGGGCCTTACCTGGTCACGATGTGTCTACACAGCCACTAGACACCGCGGCTGGCCCGTGCCAGCTGACTCGGGCTCCCGGTGCTCGGAATGCGGGGCTGTTTCATTGCAGTGTAGACATCTGGGCTCAGGCTGGAGCCGGAGCTCTGAGACCATCCCACCTTGCAGGGTCCTAGAGCCTGGGCTCCACCCTGATCCCAGACATCTTTACTGCAATGAAACAATCCCACAAGCCTGAGTCAGCTGCCACGGGCCAGCCCTGGCTTTTCCATTGACGTGTAGACCTACCCTCAGTTCTCCTTTCCTCTCACACACTCCCTCAGGGGCAGGGCCGTAAGAGCAGCTGCTGCAGAGATTGGATTGCAAGTGTCTTTGGGGGACTCAGGCTCTGTACCCACGGTGGCACAAGAGTGGGTTGAACCCCCACGCGGGAGAAGAGAGGTGATTTTCTGTTCCCTTTTCTGCCTCCGTCCACTGAATTTTCTTCCTCCCACTGACTGCTAGCCCTGGAGGAGACCTTGCCAACTGTATAATGTGCTTGCAAAGTGCGTGTCGTGGTGGCTGGTCCACCCAGAATAATAGAATATCAGGGTTGGAAGGGACCTAAGGAGGTCATCTAATCCAAGCCCCTGCTCAAAGCAGGACCAACCCCAACTAAATCATCCCAGCCAGGGCTTTGTCAAGCCTGACCTTAAAAACCTCTAAGGAAGGAGATTCCACCACCTCCCTAGGTAACCCATTCCAGTGCTTCACCACCCTCCTAGTGAAATAGTGTTTCCTAATATCCAACCTAAACCTCCCCCACTGCAACTTGAGACCATTGCTCCTTGTTCTGTCATCTGCTACCACTGAGAACAGTCTAGATCCATCCTCTTTGGAACCCCCTTTCAGGAAGTTGAAAGCAGCTATTAAATCCCCCCTCACTCTTCTCTTCTGCAGACTAAATAAGCCCAGTTCCAGTTCCCTCAGCCTCTCCTCATAAGTCATGTGCTCCAGCCCCCTAATCATGTTTGTTGCCCTCCGCTGGACTCTTTCCAATTTTTCCACATCCTTCTTGTAGTGTGGGGCCCAAAACTGGACACAGTACTCCAGATGAGGCCTCACCAATGTCGAATAGAGGGGAATGATCACGTCTCTCGATCTGCTGGCAATGCCCCTACTTATACAGCCCAAAATGCTGTTAGCCTTCTTGGCAACAAGGGCACATTGCTGACTCATATCCAGCTTCTCGTCCACTGTGACCCCTAGGTCCTTTTCTGCAGAACTGCTGCCTAGCCATTCGGTCCCTAGTCTGTAACAGTGCATGGGATTCTTCCGTCCTAAGTCCAGGACTCTGCACTTGTCCTTGTTGAACCTTTTGGCCCAATCCTCTAATTTGTCTAGGTCCCTCTGTATCCTGTCGCTACCCTCCAGCTGCTCCCTGTTCTCCAGAAGAGAACAGCCAACTCCCGTGAGCAGCTAGCTGAATTGCTGCTTCGTTCTAGTGGCAGAGGGCTTTGCTGTAGCGTGCTGGGCCCTCAGCTCAAATCCTAGCAGCAGCACTTGCTAGGCCTCATTCCCACTACTAAGCCACTGTGTCCCTCTAGCTCACTTGAATCACGCCAAGTTTGGCAGTGACCTTGTTCGTTTTAATACGGCTAAATGTACAGGTCTACATCTGGGAATAAAGATCACGGTCATACATACAGGACGGGGGACTCTATCCTGGGAAGCAGCGACTTTGAAAAAGCTTTGACGGTCGTGGTGGATAATCAGCTGAACATGAGCTCCCAGGGTGACTCTGTGGCCAAAGGGCTAATGCGATCCTCGGATGCATAAACAGGGGAATCTCAAGTAGGACCAGAGAGGTTGTTTTTCCTCTGTATTTGGCATGGGTGTGACCACTGCTGGAATCCTGCATCCAGTTCTGGTGCCCACAGTTCAAGAAGAATATTGATAAATTGCAGAGGGTTCAGAGAAGAGCCGTGAGAACCATCAGAGGGTTAGAAAACCTGCCTTCTAGCGAGAGACTCAAAGAGCTCCATCTATTTAGCTTAGCAAAGAGAAGGTTAAAGGGAGACTTGATCACAGTCTATAAATAACGAATATTCAGTTACGGGCTCTTCAGGCCAGCAGAGGCAGGAATAACATGATCCAGTGGCTGGAAGTTGACGCTCGACAAATTCAGACTGGAAATAAGGGGTAAATTTGTAACAAGGAGGGTCATTAACCATTGGAACAACCTACCCACGAGTTGTGGTGGGTTCTCCATCCCTGGCAATTGTCAAATCAAGATGGGCTGTTTTTCTAAACTTGGCTCTAGGGATTATTTTGGGGCACTTCTCCGGCCTGGGCTATGCAGGGGGTCAGACTAGATGACCGCAGTGCTCCCATCTGCCCTTGGAATTGATGTGTCTCTGGCTGTTGGGTGGGGGGGTCTGATTCCAGCTCCTTGGACGAGGCAGCCACAACACACTCACAAAACCACCTTTGCAACTGTCTCTTGGCCTACAAGCAGGCCGGCACTAAGGGGACAGGCAGGGTTCTAGGACTGTATGTAGCGCAGTAGGAAAGCCTCCAGTTAACACTTCCTGTTATAACACCTCGTTGTCAGCGGCTTATAACTTTGCCAAACTGTAACCGTTGGGGCTGGTATTTTCCCTGCTGAGCGTCTGCCTCGGGCTGAAGTTTCCCCCCTCCCCCCCCCCAACAAAAATGGTTCAGCCTTTTCTCAGAACAAGACTAGGGAAAAATTGGTTGTTTTTGCCCATGTTAATAAAACTCTTAAGCATTTTGTTGGGAAGCTGTAGCCCCATCATGCTCTGGAGCAGGGACTTGGCATTTGGCTGCTGGGGCCAACATTTGCTCTGGCATTGCGCTTCCCATCGGCTGAGGGGCCAGGCACAAAACCCGAGAGCAGGAGACTGCGTCTCCTGTGCTCCCAACGGCCACCCCCCGGCTGGCCCCCAGGCAGCAAGGAGAAGAGGACTCAGTCTGCTTGGCGAGGAGAGGAGTCTGGGGGCAGTGGAGGGAGGGCAGGTTGGACAAGGAGCCAGACAGGTGGTGGGTGAGACTGGGACAAAGATCCAGGTGGGCAGCATGGAGAAGGGAAGCCGAGGGTTTGAGGGAACTGGGACAAGAAGCCAAGGGGGTGAGGGACAGGGCTGATTGGGCCAAAGAGCTGGGGTGTGGGCCATGGAACCAGTGAGGGTGGGGACGTGGAGCCAAGGGGGTCAGGGAGCTGGGGGATATTGGGACAGGAATGAGGACTTGAGACGGGGGTGGAACTGGGACAGTGGCCTGGAAGGGTCAGGGCTACAGGAGTCAGGCCAGGCGGGCGCAGGGGCTGTGTAACCACTAGATACTCCCCTCGGACCCTCGACTAGAACCCAGGATTCCTGAGTCTCAGTATCCCTCGGCTGCCAGCCCATAGCAGTGAAACCCACTGGCAAAGCGTGTGTCTCATCCCCATCTACTGGTTGGTTCATGTTGGGGATGACAACCTACTAGTGCTGTCAGTTGCTCCGGGGCAGAGGTCTGCGCTAGGGAACTAACAGTTCACACCCTTCCGGTGACCCATGTGAGTACCCGCCTAGTTCCACAAGTTGGCACTCCTGTTTTGTCAGTTTGTTTTTTTCAAAAACCTAGGCAATACACACCAAAAACTATGTTAAAACACACCGTTAAGGTGGCGAAGTCAAGCACTCAAAAGTTGGGAAATGCCAGAATTAGAGTTGCCTCTTTCAACCTGAATTTGGCCCTGTTGTGTGCATGCACTAGGCTACAGCCTTTAATTACATGGGCACAGCCAGTTTGTTCCCCAGTTCCCTCTGCCTCACGTCATTTCCCCCTAAAATGTGCCTTTGGCCTGGCCCTGCTGGAGCTTCTGTCTCTCCAGTGACCCCTGCTGGAGGTCCCCGGAAATGCCATTCTCAGGTCCCATGCCCCCTACCCCTCCGCCCAGTCAGCAAACTCTGCATTGACAATCACCAGTTCACCCCTCACCCTCACAACAACTGGCACAAAAGGTCTCTCCCTGTGAGATCCTTATCGTGGCCCTGATCCTGCACCCTCCATGCGGGTGGATTCTGTGGGTCTCCATGGGGGGCACGAGGGTCCGTCCAAAATAGAAGTCACTGTTTTCTCTAAAAGCGTCCTGACCTTTTGTAATCTAACTCCCTGTCCCTTCCAATCAGCCCACCTTCCCTCCTGGCTTGTCCCTCTCTAATCATTAACCTGCCTGGGACCTCTGCCGGCGAGCTGTGAAACTTCACTCCTCCAATGCGCAGAGACCTTTGCAGTGCCCTTCTAATCCTATTAGGGAGTCAGCCTCCAAAAACCTGCGTCTTTTGCAGAAGCGGCTTAGGAAGGGCCTGACCCACACACATGCACCGGGGTCGGGCAGCCTTTTCCTTTCTTCCCTGCTGCCGCAGCTGCAACTCTATGAATGAGCCTGCTTGAATGTGCCACATTCTTTCACAGTCCGGTCCTTTCCAAGGGGCCACACGGCTCTAATTAAAGCAGCGGTCGGGAGGTTAATTAATACAAATGGTGGCAAATATTATACCAATCAAAGTGCCTTTGGATTCCCTTCTCTGCTAGAGCATGCTGCTCTGGTAGGATCTCGTTAGCGGGCTGGGAGAAAACACAGCCCTTAAACCGCCCGACTGTTACCTCCAGTGCATTAATGAGACTGTTTTATGCTTTCTTTATTCCGGCCTCTCCCTGACTCATTTTGGAGTTGCAGGGATCTCCAGAGCTGCCTTCTTTGAGCAAATCTAGGTTTCAAAGCAATTTTAAAAGAGCTATTTCTCATATGGCAGGAGTTGGAATGGAAAATTGCAATGATCTCTTAGATAGCTAAAGAAATTGCAGGTAAACACTGGTGTGTAATGTTTATATAATAGATGTGCGTGATCTATAAATATGGCCCTGATCCTGAAGTTGGCTCTGCCCAAGTGAATCCCTCCACCCATGCCGAGTTCGTTGCAGCATCTGGGCTCGTGTGTCATATATGCTACTGAACTTCCCAGCAGGATAGCTGCTCTGATGATAACTCTTGAGACACAGGAAATACAGCTCGTTACATGCGAGCAACACATGTGCCATTTTCTCCCATAGCGGCTGGTCGACCACTCAGCTGATGTTTCTTCATTTGCTCACATGGCAGAGGTCTGTACTGCAGCGAGCGTTAAGGATCCAAACCCACTGGTGACCGGGGCACTGAGCATTTAAATGCAGAGAGGAGCAGGATATTCTGATGCCTGCTTCGATTTCCTGTGTCTCAAACCACGACAGGGGCTGGCTTCCTGTCTGATTGCTAGGGGTTCGGTTTGTGTTGTACTGAAGACACCGCTCAGGTTGGGGAGCTGTAGTTCACGCTCGCACACACACACACACACACAACCAACAGATCCCTGGCTGACGACTTTCATAGCTTGCAAGGGCCTGAGCTCTCTTTCCCGCCCCCCCGCGAAGTCAAATCTGAAAGGTGGCGCCATGCTCCAGTTCTGCCTTGGCTCAAGAGCGCCACCTATTGAGACACAAACTCCACTTCCTGCAGCACCTGGACTTTTGCCTCAAGGTCTCTCATCCAAGTGCTGACCTGGTCGTACACTGCTTAGCTTGGGAGATATAAGAATTCTAGCAGCAGCTAGGAAGCAAAGGACCACCGTGTGCTTTGTGGCTAGCACAGAGCTCTGTGCCCAGAGGCGAACAAGCAGAGCGCTACCCTGTCCCTTTGTGAAAGCAGGGCTGCTGAGCAGGGATGTATAGGTGACCTGCTTTTGAGCCTACATAGTTACATTTAGGGGGCAGGTCGGGAGCTGGTGTAAATCAGACCAGCTCCACTGGTATCAGCTACACCAGTAGCTCCTGGAACAGTGACCCACGGGTCAGTGTGTGCGACCTGTCCACCTCTGCACCGGATCCACAGAGGAGATGAATCTGTTCCAGGATTGCAGCTGGCGAGACGGGGTCTTTCGCTCATGTCATAGAGGTTTGTGTATTTAGCTCTGGAGGGCCCCACTTCAATCCCCAGTGCTGACCAAGATCACCAGGCTCAGATCCAGTCACTACTTATAATCGACTGTAGTACTGATTACGTACTAGCATTACAGCCATCCCTGTTCGACAGCCCCATCGTTCTCCAGGCCAGCCAGGTCCGTGAGGGGACAGAAAAGGGACAGAAATCTCCCTGGGTGGCCCAGCAGCCCGGAGGTTTTACACGGTAAGACATGAGGGAGATTGTAGGTTTAAATGGAGGGGTAGCCAGGTGAGCGCCAGTTCCCCAGATCCATGCGCTGCTGCTTTGAGGCCATACACCAGGCTAGAGAGAGGGCATGCTGAGACACATGCATACAGGGTCCAGTGACCTTGTGGAGTAAAGGTTTGAGCCAAAGCCCATTGAAGTCAATGGAAAAACTCCCGTTGACAGGCATTCGATCAGGTCCTAAAAGAGGAGTTTTCTTAATACCAAAGCTTCTTTCCTTCCTTCCTTCCTAGTCTCCCTCTCTCTCTGTGTCTGGTGCATCTTTTTAAACAGTGCAGATCACATAACATTATCTTCTAGCTTCCCTTCCCCTCGGTTCATTTGAACCCACCTGGCCCTCTCCAGCCATTTGCCGTTAATCCCCACTAATTGCCACTAATTCGGTTCCTGTCCCTGGGTCTGTGCAGGTGTTTGAAGGAACATCTGGGATCGATGCCAAGAAGACATCCTGCGAGTTTACCGGGGACATCCTCCGGACACCTGTTTCCGAGGACATGCTAGGTACGTCCATAAGAGCAGCTGAGAACGAATTTAGCTCACTACACGGATCTCACTCGAAAAAATAAACAGCAACAAGTTACTGCCAGAGCCGGTAGCCTGGTGCTGATTTTACATTTGCAACTTGTGATTTGTCTGCCTAGAGATTCACTTTCCTTTGCTCAATCTTTACCATTGTTTCACCTGCCCTGAGATAGGGGCTGCAGGTAGGGTGACCAGACATCCCGATATCTTCGGGACCATCCCAATATTAGGGGCTTTGTCTTATATATGCAACTATGCTCCCATCCCGAAAAAAAGTGTCCCGATTTTTCACACTTGCTCTCTGGTCACCCTAGCTGCAGGCGCTTTGGGAAATGGATTGAAAGGCTGGTCCAGTTCCACTGGCGCTGTTGGAAATGCCTCCTGGCCTCTGCTGAAAAGCTGCTGGGTGACTTTTGATAGAACTCCAGTGAGTCTGAAAAGCGAAATTCCAAAGGCTCCAGAAGCAGCCAGTGTGTCTCCATACAGGTCCGGCCCCACAAGCAGCGGGTAAAAAAAGCAGTAATGGAAACAGAGAAGGGAGTGGGGAGGAGAAGTGGCGAAGGTCACACCGTCTATAAAGGCTGGTAGGGGAAAACAGAAGGCCACAAAACCCAAGGATGAATTAATACTGCCAACAGGCTTCTGCTGATGGCACACATGGGCCCAAGGTGCGGGCTGGGATCTGGGATCTGATCCCACGTTCAGGGGGTGTCTGGTGCATTAGAGAGAGAGGGGCCAGCTAAGAAATCCCTATTCAAATTCAGATTCTAAACCACCAAAGTCTGGGGATGTTTGGATCCTGGGTTTGGTTCAGCCCAGCTGCAGAGTGCAATCTGATACTCCCCAACGTTGGAACTGGGGCTTTGCTTCCGGCCGGTCTCGAGCGAATAGATCCGGGCTGGAGGCACCCGGAACGCTAGAGAGAACTCAGCCCCGCTAATAGGCGAAGGGAGGGATTGAAATCAGCAATAATAATAATGGCAAAGCGGGAAGACAAGGCAGTAAAATTGTTTAATGACTGCAAAGGGCAGGAGGGTTTAGTGGATTGGCTACAGGATCTCTTGTTTCCAGGTCACCAGTTCAAATGTGGTCTAGGGTTGGAGGCGAGTTAAAGGTGGTTCCCATCTGATGATTGGCCTGTCTCTTATAGCAAATGAGTCAGTCTAGTACCTACTGGATGACAGGCAGCTGCATCTTAAAAAAATATAAACTAGCACCATCCTTGTTGGAAATAACTGGCCCCTTTGTCTCAGAGGAGTGACCGAGGATGCAGTAAATGTAGAACCTGAACTCCTTTCCTGTGAATGAACCAGTAGCAGTGAACCTAGGTGAGACCAGGGCCCCATTGTGCAAGGCGCTGTATATAAACATAGTAAGAGACAGCTTCTGCCCCAAAGAGCTCGTAATAGAAATAAAGGGAGGGAAACAGAGGTACAGGAAGGGGAATTTGCCCAAGGTTACCTGACTCCCACTGCAGTTCTCTATCCCCTAGGCCACAGGCCTCTTTGGAGACAGCTACGCTGCAGCTGGGAGAGGTGATTCCCAGCTTGAGCTAGCTTACTAACAAAGGCCTGGTCTACACTAGGACTTTAATTCGGATTTAGCTGCCTTAATCCGAATTAACCCTTCACCCGTCCACACTACAGAGCCAGTTAATTCGAATTAAAGGGCCCTTTAAATCGATTTCTGTACTCCACCTCGACGAACGGAGTAGAGCCTAAATCGATTTTGTTAATTCGAATTAGGGTTAGTGTGGACGCACACCACCGAATTACTGTGTTTAAGTTAATGGGGTAGTGTGGCCGCACACCACCGAATTAATGTGGTTTAAAACCGAATTAAGGTGCTTAGTGTGGCCGCGCACAATCGAATTTATACAACCTGTTTCCTAAATTCGAATTATCTAAATTCGGATTAATCCTGTAGTGTAGACATACCCTTAGAAGTGTGGCCACAGAGGCACGGGCAGTGCCTCGGGCTAGCTGCCTGAATGAGGGGGTGTCCCTGAGCCACTGCCTGTGCTGGGGAGGCCTCGCTGCTATTTTTAGCACACCGGCTCGATCAGAGCGCGGGCGTGTACGTCTGCCCGAGCTTCAATTTACACTTCCAGCTCAGTGTCGATGGGGACTTTTTTAGGGTAGGACGGAGTCCGTGTGGGGGAAGCTTACGTTGCTGTATGCAGTCTGTGGCTAACCAGAGAACTTCTGCCAGTGCAGCACCTTTCACTGGCATGAAACTGGCTACCACAAGAGAGGAGCCCGGGCAATGACAGTCCAGCAAATCTAACTTGGATCCTTAGTAACGGAATCAAATCAACGTGAAGGGGAAAACAATTCCGTAACCGCCTGGAGGCTAACGATGGAGGCATGAGCAGTGAAACAGCATTGGGGAGTTGTAAAGAACAGATCTGGGCAGACCCAATCCCAGGGACAAAATCAGTGGGGGACGGGAACTCAGTAGATGTGATGTGTCATTGTCTGGACATCAGTAAAGTATTTGCTAGAGTGTCTCATGCAATCTTACTCTCCTGTCGACTTGCAATAGGAGAACTGGCCACCAACCTGTCTGCAAAGGGCAATGGTAAAGGGCAATGCATCGCGCAGGGGGCAATGTCAGTGCGGGAACTTGGGGTAACGTGATCACTGGACAGTGGATGGTTGCTTAAGGGATCTGTTCTCATCTCGCTGGAAAACTTTAGGAGACCGCCTGTCTCCTCTCTCCCTGCCCACTGGGGCTGCGCTGGGATACGTGCCACGTTCCAGGATGTATCTGCTACCCAGAGACACAGAGGGGAGGTCCCGGTTTCATACTAGCTGGGAGTTTGGGCTCTAGTTTGGTTTGGTTTTGGTGAGGTGGGAAGAAGGGGAAAAGAGTGAGACGCTAAAGAGTTAATCGTGCCCAGCCCAGGTGGAGAGCTCTGGTGCACAGAGGGTGCTGGGTAGGTGGGGGAACCTGACCCTGCCTTGCTGTGACACTGGAATGTGCAGCTAAGTGTCCCCGTAGCATGATGGGGAACCGACACCCCCATTCTCCACCCCGACTTGTCCCTTGTGAAGACGGGAACAGGAGTGCAGGAGGCTTCCTACTGCTCCATGCAGCTGCTTAACCGAACTTATGCCCACACCTGGCCCCTGCTGCACACCACTTAGGGACTCGCAGGATCAAGAGCTGACGCCAAAGTCATCCAAGCCCAGTGTGCGGTGGCCACCCCAGGCCAGCGCCTTCCTAGCCTGATGGGCAAAGCCTTCCCCTGGAGGTGCACTGAGGCCTGCTGGGCTTGTCCATGGCTAGGCCATGTGGGGGAGGGATAGCTCAGTGGTTTGAGCATTGGCCCCCCTAAACCCAGGGTTGTGAGTTCAATCCTTGAGGGGGCCACTTAGGGATCTGGGGCAAAATCAGTACTTGGTCCTGCTAGTGAAGGGAGGGGGCTGGACTTGATGATCTTTCAAGGTCCCTTCCAGTTCTAGGAGATAGGATATCTCCATTAATTAGGCCACCAGCTGGCACCAGCATCTTGGGGATACCTTTAGCAGCCCACTGGCCCAATTGGCATGACACAGGCCAGAGCCATCCACACTGGGGCTGCCCCATAGGAAGCCAGGCAAGGCAAGGTCCACAGAGCACATTGAGACACAATGAGAACTGTCCCCAAACCCAACCTGGGCTGTTTGCAAGGGTCCAAACATCACTTTGATCTCCCCCACAATTTGATTTTGTTTTTTGGCTGATTATTCTGCTCTTAGGGGTTCCGGCTGGGAACTAAACTCCCACAGTGCCATGAGGAAAGGCTGTTTTCACCCGACCCACAGAATATAGAGATGGGGGGCAGGGAGCTATTAAGTCACTCCAACTCCTTAAGCAGGTGTATTCCCTTCCGTTCGTTTTCTAGCACTTGGTGGGCCGTGCTTCCAGGCTGGGGGAATCTATCCCGGCCAGCAGTGACTCGGAAATAGACTTGGGGATCATGCTGGCTAATGAAAATGAGTACCCAGTGCAACCTTGTGGCCAAAAGAGCTAATGCAAACCTTGGATGCATAAACAGGATTATTGAGTAGGAGTGGGGAGGTGATTTGACCTCTGTATTTGGCACTGGTGCGACCGCTGCTGGAATCCTGCGTCCACAATTCAAGAACAATGTTGATCTATTGGGGAGGGCTCAGAGAAGAGCCATGAGAATGATTAAAGGACTAGAACACCTGCTTTATAGCGATAGACTCAAGGAGCTCAATCTGTTTAGTTTAACAAAGAGACGGTGAAGGGGTGACTCGATCACAAATGGGCTCTTCAGTCTAGCAGAGAAAGGTCTGACATGATCCAATGGCTGCAAGTTGAAGCTAGAGAAATTCAGACTGGAAATAAGGCGCAGACATTTAACATTGAGGTTAATTAACTGCTGGCTCAACTTCCCAAGGGTCGTGGTTTATAGATTCATAGATTCATAGATTCTAGGACTGGAAGGGACCTC